TTGGATGATTGTTTCCTCTGGTATCAGATGCTGAGCAGCTGGAAGGATTTTTACTGAAACTCTTTTAGTTTTGGACATTTGATATGATGCGTAACCATGGCAACAAGGCAGTTTTCTACAACCAACAGCTGATTAACATCTCAAAAGATCAAATAATATCTCAACTACAGCCCCAAATCTCAAGTGAGTTGAAAAGGATGTTATGTGGACACATTCTCATCTACCTGCCAGCTGTGCTCGAGTGCCTGACCACTGAGATCCTGGAACTAGCAGGAAACACGGCTCATGACAGCGGAAGGACAGGATCGTCCCTCGGCACCTACAGTTGGCTGTCCGCAGTGACGAGGAGCTCGGCAGACTGCTGGGAGGAGTGGCCATCGCTCTGGGAGGAGTTCTGCCTGGCATTCAGGCGGTCCTACAGCCCGGGGAAACTGAGAGTCCAGCTGAGTCTGGGTGGACGGATCGGACGGCATCTGCAGCCAGTTTCTTAGGATCCACTGTGGGATGGACCTTTACAAGAGATCCTTCCAGTCTACAGCATCAGCATCTATAACATCTCTTAATGAAATGAGGATAACGAGTTACAACAAATAATTTCCCTTTGGGATTAATAAAGTATTTTTGAATTGAATTGAATTGAATCAGCAGCAACATGAAACAGATCAGCAGCAACATCAAACAGATCAGCAGCAACATGAAACAGATCAGCAGCAACATGAAACAGATCAGCAGCAACATGATTATCCTGTTTAGATATTAATGAGGCTGCACAAACTCAAGTTCATGTTGCTGTTTGACGTATTGTTTTGATTGTTTACTGCTATTAGTGCTTAGTGTTTTATTAGTAGATGTTTTTTTAGTTGATATTTTTCTTAGTTTATATCTTAGATCTTATTACTGTGTTTCTTTTACATTTTATTGTTGGATGTAACTGGGACCCTGTGTACATAATTTCATCCCACCACATGTTCAATATGTGGTGCATATTCAGTATTTAACATTTTATTTTTTTACTTTAAAAATAAAATAAATCAAGTCCTTATCGGCACAAATAAAGTGATGTGGAACATGGTGCATCTGTTCTTACCGAGCACAGAAGCTGCAGCGTTGTGCTGCTCTGTGAGGTGCAGCTGGGCTGTGATGGAGCTCTGTCAGGTGTAGACTCCTCTGATGGAGCAGGAGCCGGGAGGCTTGGAGGGTTTAATGTGGAGTTTAGAGATGAACCGTCACGCGATGAAATACGTTCTGGATCAAATACAGTGAGAAATGGAACCGGAGGACAGTTAGCGTTTATGCAAATTAGCTTAGCATCGTAGCACCGATGTTGTCCTATTATGGCGTCAGCCTCTTTTGTTAGTTAAAATATGTTCAGAACCGATGGGATGAGTAATTTAAAATATGTTTAAAGTTAGAAAACACTCACCATCTTCTATAAATGATTCAAGTAGAGCAGTAGTCGTGTCCAAACCACCCTCCAATCCTCCATCTAGCTCGGTTTGACTTTTTTCTTCTGCCACCAAGCACAACAACACCTGCACTTCTGCATTTGACCACAGCTTTGACATTATTGTTTTTGTATAGCTTCAAAATACTAAAAGATACGCTCCTCCAGTTACCGCTAATGGCAAGCGGTAGAGAAAAATGGTGGATCAGGTTGTTTGGAAAGACTCCACAGACTCCTCCCCCCGACCAATCAGTGACCGACAGTGTTTCTGACGTCACGGCGCGGCTCGCTTGGACCCCTTGAGAAGCCGGGCCAGAATTTAGCGAGGCGAGCCGCTCACAGGAACAGTGGAAAAGACCTCAAACACGAGTCAAGCCGGAAATATCCGACCCGCGCCGTGACAGTGGAAAAGGGGCATAGCATTCCTTGACGGAATACATGCTAATGCGCCTCCCCACCCCCCATTTTTCATGCCAGAGTTTTAAACAAAAGGCTCATGCGTTTGCTAGCTCTCTAGGTATGTGATGGGAATAACTTTCAGCTACTACCACACCAAGTTTTAGCTCAAGATAGGAACAATTGGCAAAGTCATAACCCTTTTTGTATTCTTTCATCTGCCATAGTAACTAATTTAATTTTGGTTGACTTCAAAAGTTCATTATTTTTAGATGTAGTGGTTACGTTTTAGGATTTCATCAAAATTCACCCTGCGGTTCATAAGATAGTTTCCTAACAGACAAATATATGCATGTTTGTATACCTTTCATGATACATTATGAAGTCAGCACATTAAAAACCTTCACTCTGAGCTAGAGCAGGGGTCTGAAACTTGTATGTAAAGTAACCATAGTTGTTGGTCTAGAGCCATAAAAAGCCACTGGCTCTTATAAAACATATTTTGTTTATATATTAATATTGGAGAAAATACTGCAGTGTTTACTGTATAGGTACAACTGTAGTTGTGCTGTTAAATAGATTTTTTTCAATGTGTGGAAACATAAATTGTAATTTTACAGAAGGAATGAGTTCTTTCTTGTTTAGAATGGAAACCTGACTGTCCTTCCCATGAAGAGAAAAAAGTAAAATATGGCACTTACTCTCATGCAACAGTTCTGCTAAATGGCAGCACAGAGCAGTCCACCTTTCTCCACCTCTGGTCGCTCATTAATCACAGGTGAAGTCGGCCACTTCCCATTCAGATGTGAGTTTTCAGAAAAGAGGGAGAGCGGGACTAAAACAATCGTGGACAGAACTCATCTGGGCTGAAGTGACGACACATTAAGTGCATGCCAGACGTCTCCCTCAGATCTTTTACTAAACATGCCAAATTAACTCACTTTAGCATTCCTCTTTGTCATTAAATATTTTTTAAACTACAGGTGCTGGTCATAAAATTATATTATCATGAAAAAGTTGATTTATTTCAGTAATTCCATTCAAAAAGTGAAACTTGTAAATTATATTCATTCATTACACACTGACTGATATATTTCAAATGTTTATTTTAATGTTGATGATTATAACTGACAACTAATGAAAACCCCAAATTCATTATCTCAGAAAAGTAGAATATTGTGAAAAGGTTCAATATTGAAGACACCTGGTGTCACACTCTGATCAGCTGATTAACTCAAAACACCTGCAAAGGCCTTTAAATGGTCTCAGTCTAGTTCTGTAGCTACACAATCATGGGGAAGACTGCTGACTTGACAGTTGTCCAAAAGACGACCACTGACACCTGCACAAGGAGGACAAGACACAGAAGGTCAGTGCTAAAGAGGCTGGCTGTTCACAGAGCTCTGTGTCCAAGCACATTAATGGAGAGGTGAAGGGAAGGAAATGATGTGGTAGAAAAAAGTGTACAAGCAATTAGGACTAGGCCATATCATATCGTTCACAATAATACCGGTAAAAAAAAAAAAGCTTGCCCGGGAAAATAAATTGTATAGTAATATGCTAATTTCATGTCTTAAGTACGTCAGCATTTCCCCTACCATTATACAAACGGGGCGCCCTGCCCCCTTAACAGAAACGAGCGCGCCGAAGTACTGAACCGAATTGCGCACCACCCCATCCACCTGTCGGTACTGGCGTAACGCTAATTAGCTGCACGCAATACTAGCTAGTTAAAAAGCTAAAAATTAACGATGCATGGCTCAGCTGTGTCTCTCCATCCAACTCTAAACTGCAGGTACAGACAGTGCACGGCTCAGCTACCTCAACCTCACCCGCGAAGCTCGGCTTTTTTCTCTCCCCCCCCCCCGCTCTGGGCTGGGGGCATAGCTCGGCGGGCCCCCCCCCCCCCCCCCCTACTTTTCATGTTCATACTTTTCAGTTGGCCAACATTTCTAAAAATCCTTTTTTTTATTGGTCTTAAGTAATATTCTAATTTTCTGATAATGAATTTGGGGTTTTCATTAGTTGTCAGTTATAATCATCAACATTAAAATAAACATTTGAAATATATCAGTTTGTGTGTAATGAATGAATATAATATACAAGTTTCACTTTTTGAATGGAATTACTGAAATAAATCAACTTTTTCATGATAATATAATTTTATGATCAACACTTGTACTTAAAGTTGGTGTATGTCATCATCAGTATTCCCGCAGTATTAAATCTGTTGTTTAATCTGGTAAGCGGGCAGTTGCACACTAATGTTAGCAGTTCATCACATTACTGAGCAGCGGCTCCGCATGCTTTTTACCCGTTGCATGTCAGCCAGTCTGGCTTTGTTACTGCCTTGCTTGGCGGCACAAAGTTGCATGGAAGGTGGACTGTCTCAGACCCCCCTTGTTGCCTTGGTGTGTCATCTACGTGGACCGAGGCAGCCAGAACATGTCTCAGTCTAGAAGTGAGGCGTGTGGTGAAATACTCTTTAGAGATAAATGAAGCACTAACTTGTTGCCTGAAGACAAAATCTCAACTTTTTATGAAAATCTACGGTACTTGATATATGCTATATTATTTATAAGACTGTTTTATTCTTTACATTCTTATAAGAAAGTAGCTGTATGTTTTTAGGACGTTGCATTTGAACACTCTAAAATGTAGAATACATAATTGATGTGCAACAAATCTAATTTCTGCATTTACAACAATTTTGTTTTGAATATGTTGAAAAATGGGCTCCAGTCATTAATGAAGTTCCATCTGCTGAAAATCTAAACAGAATTGATGGAATCCCTGAGCTGCTCTGACTGCATTGGTTTTATTATCTTTCATTTGTTCAGATGGTTTCTATCGAGGAGATAAGCTAATCAACCTGAAGCTCTTATCTGACGAAGCACTGCAGAAGTGCAGAGACAAGTAAGTTCTTACAACACACGAGATGGTGAAACACAAACATGCTGGGGTTTACAAGAGTAAGCAACGTTCACACATGAACTCTCAAGTTTAGAAACTAAAATAAAAAGATTCTCACTGAAACAAATCATTTTAGTCTGTCAATAACCTTTAGCGATATTCAAAATGACGATGGTCTTATTTTCTCAACGTTTTATTTTCTAAAAGTTGACTGTAAAGTGAAGGTACTGACGACTTCATGACTAGTTCAGACTTGCAAACATTCGAGACGGCTGTTGTTTTATAACGGCTTCAGTCATGTAAAATTTAATGCAAATACTATTTCATACGCCTTTACATCATCATCCATTTCACATTACACAAACGTTTAGATTAAATGTTGTGGTCATTTTCTAGAGCAAATGGCACCATTTATGGAACATCATGGGCTCACTTCTTGTAGGAATGTTTTTTCTAAAATAAGCCACCAATAGGGAAGATCAAGTTTATAAATAGAAGCGCTCACGCTCACACATGCACACTGAGGGATGACAGAAAGCAAACGGCTAACAATGAACGAGACACTGGAGAAGAAAGTTGACCCATTATCAGCTGATTTGTATTTATCAGATTATTCTTAGAAACTTATCCCTGAGGTAAGACAGCGGTGTGTGGTTAAACGACTTTGCCAAAGCTAGCCAAGTGATCCGTACAAGCTGAGAAGAGATCAGAAGTCACACACTCTGGTCAAACATTGACTGCACTCATATCTGGGAGGACTGGATTACCAACACGCAGGCAGACATACAAACAGGATTCCAAAAAGTTGGGACACTAAACAAATTGTGAATAAAAACTGAATGCAATGATGTGGAACACATGGAACATCTAATATTTTATTCAGAATAGAACACAAATCACAGATCAAAAGTTTAAACTGAGAGAATGTATCATTTTAAGGGAAAAATCTGTTGTTTCCAAATTTCATGGCGTCAACAAATCCCAAAAAAGTTGGGACAAG